AGAAGATATAAAAGAAAGAAAGCAAACAACGATATTGAAACTAAATAGGAATAATAATCGTTTTAGGTTTTCTTAATCTTGACGTTTGAAAAATATATTAACTTTCATATTTTTTATTTTTTAAATAATTATCATTGTGTGATTAATCTATAACCATATTCGTTAATTTATATTATTCAAATTAAATAAAATTCTACATTATGTAGAAATAGAATAATTAATTATTTATATTTTATTTTTTGTGATTTTAATATCAAATTATTGATATCACATCACAAAAAATAATGATATATTAGGTAGAACTAAAATAACTAATTATTTTATTTTTTTTAAAAAAAAATTAATCATTGAATTAGATCGATTATTGACTTTACATATAGTAAAAAAATAACCATCAAAAGAACAAAAGAATGTTTAAAAAAAATCGTTACTTAATAATTAATTAATTTTTGGGGGAAAAAATCATACTATTTTTAAGTAAATACAACTAATAAAAATCATAATATATATATAGTTATCCAACTAATAAAACTAAATTAAATTTATAGATCTAGATGTGTGAGGATATACATTTCTATATTTTAATTAGAAAAAGTTTGTGTTTGTTTTGTATGTTTTTGTCGTTATTTTATGTATTTTTAAGTTTTTCAATTGTGCTCGTTTTATTTTATTTTAGATTTTGTTCGGTCAATTTAGTCGTTTTTTATGGTTTTTGTGCTTTCGTGTCGTTTTGGTTTCTTGTGCTTTTTATTTCTCTTTTTATCTTTTAGTTTGTAGGAAAATGCGCTCTGAGATTGCACGCGCATCCCCCTGCGCACTCGCGCCCGCATCACGGAGGAAGACGCCATGCACAACTCGCTATCCGAGCAATTTTTCCAGTATACCATGAATTATTTACCTAGAAACCATATGCACAACCCACCAAGAACACAACTCGCTATCCGAACAATTTTCCTAGTACACCATGAAATATTTACCTAGAAATCATATGCAAAACTCACTAAGGACTAGGGATGTAAATGGGTCGTGTTGGGTACGGGTTTTAGAAAACTCGAATCCGACCCGCATATAATTTACCTTACCCAAACCCGACCCGTTACCCGGTTAGTGATCTTCAGGTTCGGGTTGGATTTTACCCGGCGGGTTAGTGGGTTTTCGTTGGGTAAACGGATAACCCGAGTCTTAAATTTGGTTTTACTCGACCTATCTCGCTTCATATGAAAAAATAAAATAAAATAATTTCACAATCAATTATAATATAAGAAATAATTTATTAATTAAGTTTGACAATAACAAACTATAAAATATTATATTATTTTTGGAATAAAGAATGAGATATGATTATTTATCTTTTATAGTCTATTTAATATTATAACATTTAAAATTAAGTATTCAATTTTTTTATTATACAATTAACAAAAAATGATAATAAAATTATAAATAATAAAATAAATTTAACCATTAATCAAAATTGTAATAGATAGTCTAATTTTTAAAAATAACACATGACTACTTTTATATTTATTCTAAGTTATATATATATATA